CCCATAAAGATTTCTATATATTCTTGATCAGAATAAAATTTTATCCGAAATCAAAATAGTTCTTGGGTAGATCTTTGAAATATCGCATATACATTGTTACTATACTTAGGATGTCTGGCATTAATAGAGATGGACAGTGGGTAAATACCCAAAGGGTAAATACCCGGTAAATTGGGAAAATATCCGGTAAATTGGGTAAATACCCCGTAAATTGGGTAAATACCCATTTGTGGGTATTTATTTGTGTATTTACTATATTGAATCGGTAATACAACATCTTACACCATATTTCCGGGTTTCTGTTATACATACATTTTTGCATGGACATTTGGTACCCAAAAGAACAAAACTTGGACCCAGGGACCCCATTTTGGATTTCTATATTTGCTTTGACATTAAAAAGATGTATGCAAAATGTTGATCTGAAATGTCAAGTGGTTCTGCAGTCAATGAGTTTATACCCAATTTTGGGTAAAAACTCGTGTAATTAACCAAGTATTTACCCACGTCGTTAAAGTATCGTAAAACTATCCATTCTAAATCGATTTGATAACAGAAACCCGGAAATAGGGTGTAAGATGTTGTATTACCGATTCAATATAGTAAATTCCAAATAAATACCCGCAAATTGATATTTACCCGGTATTTAGCCACCCCTTGGGTATTTACCCGGTATTTAGCCACCCCTTGGGTATTTACCCGGTAAATACGATCTCTAGGCATTAAAAATGGGATGTATTGGTCAGCGTTTTGGTATAGACCGCCATATTTGATATTTTGAGAAGTTTTGACACTTCCCAAATGTCGGTATTTTTGGGTACGTTTTTACACCAAATTGGCTGTAATATGGCAGTTTTGAAACTCATTTAGTAGCAAAATTAGTTTCAACAATTTATCAAAATTGGTCCAAGTTTGGGAATAGTCGGTAGCTCCCAAATTTATGTATTTTGGAGAATTTGGACACATTTCCAACCATAGTCGCTGTAATTTTACAATCCAGATTATCATTGGGTTGAAAATCTAGTCACCAAAAATTATCAATTTTGGCCGCAGTTTCCCCATATAACGGTATCCCATATTTTTGAAATTGCGAGGATTTTGGACACGTTTTCCAGACGAATCGTACTGCGAAATATTATTGGGTAGCAAATCTTCTTAACACAAATGATTAATATTAATCCACGTTTTGGTATAGCCCCTATAAAACTGTACCCCGATTTTGGGAAATTTGAAGGATTTTAGACAGGTTTTTCAGGCGAATTAGATCTAAATGTATTTTGGTTTATGTATTTTGGTTTATCATTGGATGAAATAATTGATCCTTGGGTACAACCCCCAAATAATGGTCCAGAACTTTGGTATGTATTTTGATGGTTCAAGACGCATAGAGTGAGAGGTGAAGTCATTGACTCACTAATATGGACGACTCTGGGTTATGAACTGGGATTCCTAACTCCAGAGGTAAACAGAAGCCTTATAGGAATCCTCGGAAGAGAAACTGGGACAAATTCAAAGCCAAAACAGCAGCCTTATCTTAAAACGGTTGAGGATATTGAGGAAGCTGTGAACATTGACACGGCCACTCTTCTGAAGAGAAATAAGGCTTCATGTCCTTTAACATACCCTGAGAAAAAAATCTCAGTCGGTATGGTGGTCACAAAGCTTGCATCCTTGAGGAAGGCTGCAAGGAAAGCATACAATAGAGTTAGTAAGACAAAACTCAGTACAGATTGGGACGTTTATAGAGAACAGTTCAATAGGTATATGAGTGAAATCAAGAAGGCTAAACGTGAGTCTTGGCTCTGCTATAGTGACTCAATCGAAGGATTCAACAAAGCGGACAAATTTCGCACAGTACTATTTAAAGATCCAAAATCTATAGGTAGCTTTGAGCGAAGTGATGGAACGTGGACAAACTCTGGTAGTGAGACTCTTGATCTTCTATCGTCAACCCACTTTCCTGGTTGTAAGGACTATAGTGAGGGTGCGCAGTGTGCGCATCAGCATATGGTTCGAACGAGGAAGGGGGGAGGGAGAAACTGATAGAAAGCACTATAAGCTACCCAAAACTGGTATGGGCGAAAAGTAGTTTTCAACCCTATAAATCTCCTGGTCCAGATGATATAATACCGGCCATGGTGCAACACACAGATGAACGATTATTAGCCTCTCTGCACGACATTTTTAGGGCTTGTCGACTTCTATCGTACATATCTATGAAAAGAGGTAACAGTAACCTTCATCCCACCACAGGGGGGTACTATCTCCCCTTCTGTGGGTTCAAGTGATAAATTGAAGTTCGATCATCTTAAGATAAAGGTTGTAGCCTATGCCGATGATGTAGTTTTGAAGGTTGGTGCGAAATTTCTAATAACAATGTCAGATATTTTGGGGTCCCCTTTCAATTCCGTCTAACTGGGCACACGCCAATGGTCTTGGTGTTAACCCCACCAAGACAGAATTAGTCTCTTCACTAGGAAACGTAAGATTCCTAGTTTCCGCCTGCCATCACTGGGAGGAGTAACCGTAACCCTTTCTGAAGAAGCAAAATACCTTGGTACAATCCAAGAACTCCAGAGGTAAGAGCTGGGGACTTCGACCGGAGATCATACACTGGCTATATATGAGGATCGTCCTCCCCATCCTTACATATGGTTACCTTGTATGGTGACATGGTGTCAAAAAAAACATACTGCTGACGAAATTAAATTCAATACAGCGATCTTCGATCAGGCAGCCTTTCCCACAGGCAGTCTTGCCTGCAGTTTCGTTTTATCCTGGTTGCTATTTAAATTTCACATAGTCGATATAAATGTCCCTATCAATTTTAGGTAATTTTAATACCCACCTCATGGTGGAGGGAAATTTACGTTTAACTGTTAATATATAGGACCTTGGTGTGTAAACTTAATTTTCTTCTGACATCTATTGTTGATACCATATACATTTCACGGTTCTGTTTTTTACTTCTTAAATTTGTAAACTCCAATAAAACTAACCTCAAATTCTTATTCTTAAAACAATTCCTGATTTGCAAGTTTATTGAATAAAATTAATAACAAATTTAACAATTGTACATTTTTTCTATTTTTTTTAATTTAAGATATTTTACTAAGAATTTAGATTATCATGGCATAACAATTGGCACCGTCTCGTTTTCAATCACCTTCTTCAATTTCAATATCATATAGTTTCAAATCTCCCGACACCAACATGGTGTCCACACACTTAGGATGTACTTTGTAGGGATAATTCATTAAGGGTCTATCATTCAGGTAAATTTCAAAGGCATTCTTGCCACGCACAATGTGTAAGCGGAATTCGGCATTAGGTCTTAGACCTGTGGATAATTCCGATTTAATCTCACCCGTCCATCGACCATTGGCAAAAGAGTTTCGCAGCACCATGGGTTCTCCCGTCTCACCCTGACTATTCATATAGAAATGGAATTCTAAAACTAATGCCACATTCGGTTGTGGCCAAATGCTGTGACCCGATTGTAGGCTTATACGAAATGATTGAGGTTTACTGCGAACGCGACCCCAAATCATCATGCGGTAACCCAATTCGAAGAAACCACGTGGAAATGAGGCATAATAAGGCAATGATAATGGACGTAATTCTTCCGATTCAAGCTCCTCTTCTTCTTCCTCCTCCTCTTCTGTATATTTTCTATAGTGTTCATAATCTTCCGAATTATAGATACCCGTATCCGCATGACGATTACTTATACTAACAAAATGTTTCGATTTTCCCGTACGTTGTGGATAATCCGTGACAAGTTTACGATCAACGTGTAAGTCATGTACATCTCCCCGTATTTCTATTGATCGTATATCGTAAAACGATAGACGATGTTCATATTTGGCAATGTGGAAACCATCTACGGCTATCAGCACAGCATCCATTGTAAAGAGAATTTGTAGTAGGAATTGTGATCCTGGTTTCAAGTTAAATGGCATAAGGGAGGTAATTTCTTCGGTGCCCCAATAACCATTCGTTCGGGTATTACGACCAATCATGTTGCGTGATATCACCGCTGACAAACGTAATGCAATGTCGTTGCTGGCATTTTCCGTACAGAAGTCCACAATGAAGCTGGAGGGAAATTGAAAAAAGTGAATGAAAATGGGAACCAGGATTATAATTGAAATACTCACCGTTCGCCATTTGGTAGAATTTGACCACGTATTAAAAACGAAAGACCCTCCTGAATCCATCCAATTTTATTGTTGGCATAGAGAGGATTTCCCGGAATGTCTTCGTTAATGGAGACCTGAAAAACAATAAAATAAAGGTGGATTAGTTGCAGATATTTGACACTCAAGAACTTGATGCTGAAAGGCAAAATAAGGAATAGTTCATCTTCATTTCTCTCCTCAATATTATTTAATTGTGAATCAAAAGATTTCATAATTTCCTCACAGTTGACCCAGAACCTGCCCCAATCTTTAAAATTTTTTATTTTTTAAAATCTTGGAGAATTCCACGGAAAATTTCGTCAAGAAGCCACGATGTTTTTTTAAGTGATAATTTTATTTTTTTTTTTTTGTTTTTTCATTAAAATTAATTTATTTTATTGGCATTTTTAAAATTCCAAACCGAAAAAAGGAAATTCCAACTTTGATGTTGAAAAATGTGACGCATGCTCTGTCCCAGAACCTGAAAAATTGTTTAAAGTTTTTGAGAAAGGAAAAGAATAAAGTAGGTCGGGCCGAAAGACGGCCTCTGACGTGGAAGAAATCCTTCGCTGTTAAGTCACTCAAAAATTAAAAAAAATGTAACTACTGGAAAGGAATAACATTCTGAACAAGCTTGTTTCAGACAAGGCTGCTCAACTATTTGAACTAGTTATCTACAAGAACTACAAAATGAGTGATTGGATCAAAAATAAATACGCGAACGGGAGTCAAAAGGAATGACTGCAGCAAAATGAACTAAATGATCCAGGGAGCCGAACCTAGTTCCGATTGTTCCTTTTGCGGACTAGTTCCTTTGAACTAGTTCGTTTCGAAACAACCCAAGTGACTCTTGAGAGATTTCAGCTAAATCGTCTAAGAAGTTTATCCTAATCTGAAAGAAGTTTGGTGCACCATTTACCTAAAATTGGACGAAAATATATATGTGGGAGATATATCTAAATCTGAAACGATTTCAACGACCCTAACAAAAGATAAATTTGTATTTACTTCAGTACATTGTACAAAATTGTGTGTCAATCGGACAAACTTTAGGTCTTCTGTGCACAATTTACATTATATCGGATGAAAATATATATGGGAGCCATATCTAAATCTGAACCGATATTCTCGAAACTTAACACACATCTTTCTAGACTTAATTCAATAAGCAATGTCATATTGCGTGCAAATCGAAAGATATATAGGGACGTTGGTGCGCCATTTACATTAAATCGGACGATAATATATATGGGAACTATATCCAAATCTGAACCGATTTTCACGAAACTGTACACACATCATTCTAGAACTAATTCATCCCGCTATGTCAAATTTCGTCCATATCGAAAGATATACAGAGACTTTGGTACACCATTTACATTAAATCGGACGAAAATATATATGGGAGCTATATCTAAATCTGAAACGATTTTCACGAAACTTAAGACACATCATTCTAGAGCCAATTCAGTACGCTGTGCCAAATTTTGTTCAAATCGAAAGATATATAGGTACTTTAGTACACCATTTACAATAAATCGGACGAAAATATATATGGGAGCTATATCTAAATCTGAGCCGATTTTTCCCAATTTCAATAGGGTTTGTCTTTGGGCCAATAAGTAACCTATGCCAAATTTCTTCCAATTCGGATCATAAATGCGACCTGTACTTTGTTTACAATTTAACATGGACAGACAGACGTGCGGACGGACATGCATAAATCGACTTAAAAAGTGATTCTATGCATATTCTCAAAAGGAACCATGTGTCTATCTCGTTTCCTTTTGTCTGTTACAAACATATGCTCAAGAAAATTGGGGGGTACTATGGGAGCTATGCCTAAACGAGGACCGATATATCCCATCTTCGAACTTGACCTGCCTGCAGACAAAAAGCAAACCTATGCAAAATTTCAACACCCTATCTCAATTCCTTCAGAAGATAGCGTGAATGTCAATCATCGAGCAAAATATGTATAAGACCTATATATAAATGGACGTGTTTGAGCAACCGTGGAATCCACCATTTGGTATGCTGCACACAGTGCGCTATTTTATCTCGACACAAAATCCAATACACGTTATTGCAGGTTCGGTTTGGTACGTTGTACACTAGTTCGGCCTAAATTTGACTCTTTGGTGCGCCATTTACATAAAATCGGACGAAAATTTATATGGAAGCTATATCTAAATCTGAACTTATTTCAACAACACTTCATGGATGTCAACCTGTGGTAACTTCAATACGGTATGCAAAATATTGTCTCAATCGGAAAACATTGACTGTTAGGTGCTCCATTTACATAAAATCGGGCGAAACTATATATGGGAGCTATATCTAAATATGAACCGATTCCAAACAAAACTTCGCGCATACATCAATCAAGACCTAACTCAGTACGCTGTGCAAAATTTTGTCGCAATCGCACAAATATTGGCAGTATGGTGCTCCATTTATATAAAATTGGACGAAAATATATATGGGAGCTATATATAAATCTGAACCGATTTCAACAAAACTTCACAGACGTCAACCTGGAGTTATTTCATTACAGACATCTACCTGAAGTAACTTCAATACGCTATACACAATTTTGTCTCAATCGGACAAACATTGACAGTATGGTGCACCATTTACATAAAGTCGAAGGAAACTATATGTGGGAGCTATATCGTAATCTGAACCGATTCCAACAATACGTCACAATAACATAAACTTGCAATTAATTCAGAATGCTGTGCAAAATTTTGTGCCAATCGGCCAAAAATGCCATATATCAATATAGAGCTAATTCAGTACTCTGTGCAAAATTTTGTCTCAATCAGGCCAATATTGGGAGTTTGGTGCATAATTTTCAAAAAATAGGACAAAACTATATCCAAATCTAAATCTGAACCGATCTAAATCTGAACCGATCTAAATCTGAACCGATTTTCTCTAATTTCAATAGGGTTCGTCCTTGGGTCAAATAAGTTCCATATGCCAAATTTCATCCAAATCGGATCATAAATGCGACCTGGACTTTGTTCACAAAAATACACGGACGAGCGGACATGCATAAATCGACTCAGAAAGAGATTCTATGTATATTCTCAAAAGGAACCATGGGTCTATCTCGATTCCTTTTGCCTGTTTCAAACATATGCACAAAGACATAATACCATGTACCACAGTATGGGGGAGGGTATACAAAATTCGATCGACTTTACTTTTTTTAAACGTTCACCTAATGCTCGATGGAATAAAAATTTCACCTGAATCGAATTTAACGACTTTCTTAGTCAATGACACTATTTTGAACGCAATATAAATCTCTTTTGAATATAAATCTCTCTTTCCTAATGCTGATATAAAAAGTTCAAATGCACTTAAAAACGAGTTTTTTGTTCAGTCATCATTAAGTCAATATTTATAAATTGTTATCTTAATACTGTTGTAAATTTTGTATTAAATTATTCTATTAATACTGGCTGTGGTATCTAAATAACATTTACTAATACCACATATGTGGGTAACCTCTCTCATGATGACGATTTCAATGATGTCACACTAAAATGCGCTACAACAGAATTTTCAAAATAAAAACAAACTGGCTAAAGTAAAACGTAATGATCTCAGATGGTGTTGTTGATGATATCAGATAGGCAACGACGAAATTATTTTCCACCGACAAAATGAGGTTTACATTTAATCTGGCCACTGTTCACTATTACTATTCAATATTTGAATCATAATTAAAAATAAACGTCCTCATTAACACATTCCTCCGACACAATGTCCAGATGTTCTGATTTATTAAATAGTTTGTTTATTTTGAATACGGAATAAATTCCAGTCCAGCAATTTGTTTAGATTATCTGTCGTTAATCACAAAATTTCAATTTTGTTTATTTGTTTACGTTTCTTTACATTTTCCCAATTTTCCAACAAAATCTCACTTAATCTCTTTTCACATTCACCTAAGACACCACCAAACAAAAATTCACTCAACAACTACGAGTGTGTGAGTGCGAGTGTGTATGTGTGTGCGTTTATGACCTCGGTTAAACACAAAGTCCTTGACAAGTATTTTGTTTTGTATTAGCTTTTCCATGACCTTCGCAATCACGTGAAAAGATAAGAAAAGCGTTATTGATTATTTCTCTTTCCATTTCCCATCGTTTGCTCTTTTTTCCACACACAAGATATCTACACTCTTTAAAATAAATTGTTGCATCGTTTTCGATTTGTTTTTCAAGAAAATTTAAATAATTTAAATTTCACATTTAAACGGTTATCACACACGCACATATATTTATTACACAACAAATTATTTATGATTTTCAAATTGATTTCTAAACTGGAAATCGATTCGAATCCAGTTATCAATCAGCCAATCAGCCAACCTACCATATCTATCTATGAAATGTTAATTGAATATCCCACAGTTTTTGTTTCGATTCTCGTCGGTCAATTAACTCAATGTTGTTTGTTTTAACGATTACAACCTTCTGAGTGTTTGCCATAAACATTGGCTGGCTGACTGAATGAAATTTACATCAGCAATGGTTGCCATATGTTTGAGAGAGTGATGTGTGTGTAGAATATTTCGAATAGCCAACCATTTTTAATATTTACGCAGTATGGCAACAAATGTATTACCGTTATTTCAAAATTTATTTTCATCGTTCGAAATGAAATAATTGCAAACATGTCGTTAAGTAAAAACCATATGAAATTTGATTTTTGGAAATTTCTCTATTAGAAAATAAGGAATACATTACAGTTGATAAGATTGCTATGTATGTACATATAAACGTGTGAAATTTTGGAACGGGTGGATAATTAGTTTATGATTATTGTTTCGACAGAAACTTGTTTAAAGTTAGAGAAGAACTCTTGTTAAGATTTTCACCTGAAATTTTAAAGGGACATTTTTGAAATCGTGTAGAGTAGTTAAGGTTCGAATAAAAAAATGGGTGATGCCTTCCTAAAATAATCCGTCTCAGATAATACGAAGATTTTTCCAAACATAGTTGACCGAACTTGACGTGCTGTGGTCGGTCTTCTCGGCTTTTCCTTAATTTCACATTTATAAATTTCCTTTTATATC